GTTCCAGTATGGTTCTGATATTAGCCGATTGGTCTTTGCTGATTGGTCTTTGCCGATTTTGCGCACTGCGTGTTGTACGACAGTTTAACTTCACAAAACAAACTTTAACTTTGATCAAGTAGGATACATCATTTAAAAGAAGCTTGAAATTATAGATGTGCAAATGCTTTTTAAATAGATCTCTAAAACCTGGCGGCTATCAATATTCGTTGTTTTCTATTACACATGTGCAGTTCTCATGACACTTTAATATTTATTATTGCTAATGCAACTGATCAATTAATACAATACAAAGTATACTTACGATTCGTGTATTCAATACTGTGCTTTCCAGTGGTCGAGGAATGGGCAAGTATCTAGCAATCTGTTCATCGGAATCCATCGAGCAGCGTTGTCTCTATTTGTCAATATAGGAGGTAAGTTAGCACGTTAAATATATCTTGTTACACAACTTATAGGTTTGTATATTCGGGTCCGCTTTTGGTCAACTTAGTATTTGTTTGGTGAATTTTGTTGACACTCAATTTACACCGTATAATAAATATCCATTCGGTTTTGTTTTTTTCTTTCTCGACAACCCAATACGAATACCCTCATTAAGACAATTTTGCGAATCATGTACAACCGCCATTTGCATTTATAACTAGTTATAAAGAATGATTTTGTTACGCTGAGGGTAACAACGCTTTCAGTGGTTTGGGAATATATATATAAATGTTTAAAATTTGCCGATTAAAACCTGCTTTAACTGAAAACAGAAGACTGCGAAGTTTGCGAACCTGACACCAGCATAAATGGTTCACTTACATAATTGCTGTATTTTTCATAACTTTTGTTCCCCAGCAATTGCGTCTCTTCTGTCAATAAAGTATAATAATTCGACAATGCGCCTGCATGCGCTTCTGGTCTCAAATAAGACAGTCCAACCTCGGACGCCTTGCAACGATCAACCCAGTCACCATATATTGACGGTGTGATATTGTTATTATTGTTTGGCTCAACAGAACCAGTCTTTTCTGATCCAGACATCCAATTGCCTTGAGGAACGTCTGAATCACCACTTAGTGTGTTGCCAGTATGCTTGGCTTGTTTGATCATTTGCAAAGTGGCTTCTTCAACGTTACTTGTGGAAGTGCTTTCATCTTCGGTGGGGTTTCTTACAGCGTCAGTACGAAGAATGTTATGATCACCGGATTTCTCTCCTGCTTCCAATTGGCTAATTAGGCCACCATTCCTTCCCATGGTAACGTTCACCATTTGTTCGGAAGTAATTGAAGAAGTGGAATTGTTGGTTAGATGTTGTGTAGTGTCTTCATACGTAGATATAGCGGCGTCAGTAGAATCAACAAACCAATTTGTTGTTACTGTGTTTAGCCCTATTGACGCTGCATTAATATCAATCACAATGGCCATCACACAACCTACAACAAAAGTAAATTTATGGATTATGAGTTTAAATAACAAATGTCGATGACCAAATGAAGCAAGTTTTTAAAGAAAAACAGTGTCCCTGATTGCAAGATGTCTGAAAGTCAAGTCATGGACATCATGCAAGCTAGCTGACCAATTTATTTATACAGTATTGTATGCCTGCGTTGAACACTCTTTTCCATTAAATATTAAATAGAAGCTTGCTCTATTTGCCCATCAATTTTATTTCTAACTCGCGTTTCAATATTCAGTTTCTGATTTGGTGAGCAGAATTTGCAAAATGCCTGTTTACAGCCCAGGGGATAATATAGTGTGTATTTTGTTGTAATGAAAGGCGCATTCATGATCAACTGAAAACAACATTGGTAAGGTAAAATATACTCTCAAAGTCATCAAACAGCCTAACACAAATAATTTTATAGTTACTTACCTACTACTAAAACTGTTCTCGGCGTCATTCCTGTCACTCGCTTTTCAAAAACGTCACACAAGAATAGTCGACCAGGCTTTTTTAACACGCAAAATGAGTCAGTATATTGTAATGAAGTTCTCCAACACGACGAGGTGTTGTAAAATACCAAACTTGCGAAGATGACGCTTTATATAGACAAGATAGCAAACATGCATCTCATCTCGTTTCAAAAATATACTGGGATAATTTGTTACAGAGTCGTTCTGTAATTAAATCACGATGTGTGATGTCCGGAAAAACTCCCCTTAAACATGCATTATGACATTTTAACGCTAAATAAAACTGCAGTACCATATTGGACATAACGCGGGTATTTTCTGTGATTGCCCCGTATGTCATATACCTATCAACTACACACATGCGCATTTCGCATTGTTTGTTCTGTCAACAGACGGTGTACTTATTATCTTGATTAAATACCGTGTTTGACGTTGAAGGAATGCCCAGTGGGGAACGTATTACTGCACTGCTATAAGCACCTTATTTGCAAGTCCGTATTTACTTTAGTACCCGAGATCTGATATTTTGTTTTATTTGTCAGGGTTTTTCCCCGCGGCACTCCGAGTCCCGCACTACTCACAGCCAGACACGCAAATGACGACGTTCATGACCACAATTCATGAACTCAATAAATACAGTGTTTAACAACTGACATTCACATAATTTGAACTCGAATCCGATTTTAATCTTCACAGTAAATTATATGTAAGAGAAAAAGAGTAAATTAGTGAGAACAACTCCATTTTAGTAGATCATTCTCAATAAAAAGTTATCCGAACAAAACCCATCCTCTCCCGGCTAGGGGAGAGGGATGAGGAAGGTAAAGACCAGTGTTCAAAGAAAGAAACACGAATAGGGTCACCCTATGAGTACACGTACAGTGTATTTCTTACTGTATGTAACTTATTGTGCATACGCTGTGTATTGAATTGTATCATGGTGGTTGTTGCCAGGAATGTTCCTGAAAAAAAATCGTTGATGAAGTGTTTGTATTAATTTTTTACACAATCACAATCACTCGTAACCCAAAATGACACTGTTATAAAATTGTGACATATACGAGCCTCGTGTAGACTGGAAATACAAATAACTAATTACCCACGTACACGGGGCCCGTATGTGTCTGAATGACTCTTGTTTGGATTGTTCAATGTTTTGGAATTTAAAACAACAGTACAGCGAGGATAATGACGTCAGTTCTATTTCGTCGTATGCATATTATGATTAAAACGATTCAATAGTGAACTTTAAAGATTCAATGAATATCTACTCTATACTGCGTGTTTAGCTCGTTCATTTCTAAGAAATGTGATGATATTTAGTTTTTTCAGTGCATAATAGTATTTTGAACCCAACTAAAATTACAGCCGTTCTGAGAATTATTCGGACACTCAGTTAGCAAAATGACTTGCAACTTTGCAAAACACTTTGGTCTTTGCCCAATCTAGACTTGTCGGCGCCACTTGAGTGACGGGCGCGTGGTTTGGGATTACTATTTCATAGGGGTTGTCGGCTTGGTGAATTGTAAGT